CTACTACTACTACTACTACTACTACTACTACTACTACTACTACTACTACTACTACTACTACTACTACTACTACTACTACTACTACTACTACTACTACTACTACTACTACTACTACTACTACTACTACTACTACTACTACTACTACTACTACTACTACTACTACTACTACTACTACTACTACTACTACTACTACTACTACTACTACTACTACTACTACTACTACTACTACTACTACTACTACTACTACTACTACTACTACTACTACTACTACTACTACTACTACTACTACTACTACTACTACTACTACTACTACTACTACTACTACTACTACTACTACTCCATACATACATGTAACACTTGTTCAAGCTGTAAATATGTATTTTACTAGAATCGATCTTCTCGTTCCAATTATGAAACGAAATAATTATCTTGACAACTTGAAATGTTACAAGTAAATAATCTCTGTGGAGATAAAAGTTTAATAATAGCTATGAAAAGTATGAATGCCGTAGATATCATCACGTAATATGACAATTTGTTAGAGGTTTGAAATTGTGTGTTTCCAGAATCGATTTTCAAGCTCCGATCATCAGTGAAAATACGGTGATTTCTGCGGCATTCATACTTTTCATACATGAACATGTAGCTATTACAATAATGTTACCGGATATTTCTATGTTTATTACTTGAACAGGAGCCTCCCAAGTTGGGTGGTCTGTTGCTTTGGGTCATCGAGTTGTAGCGAGACCGGTATGTCCCAATAGTCTTACTAGTTTCGTCATCATCCAGTAATTTTCGGCATTCTTTGTTGCCATGGAACGTAGCTCGTGCTCTCATTGCGCTTTCCTTCCCGTCTTGGACCTTTCCTAACCTGAGCCTTCCAAGTCGGAAGGTTGTTGGTTTGCGCCTCGGAGAAGGGTTGGAGCTCGGCGTCAGGTCGTTGAATGGCTCAGTACTCCTTATCAGGTTTGTGCCATTTTGTCGCACTCGCTGACTGTACATGTATATGATCTGGTTACGTTGGTGGACAGTTTGTCATAACTCGTAACATTGTTGTCCTTCTCCTTTTTTCCACAAATACAAAATTATGCGAACTTAGATTATGCAATTAATTATTCAAGTCCTAACTGCCTACCGCATGCGCTCTACGGCTGAGGTCGTTAACCACGCTAGCAACACGACTCCAAGTTGTAGTAGATACCGGCATAAATTCTTCAATGCAGCTGTTCCGGCCGTACAGATCTCATCGGGGAAACTTGCAAGAATACTGAACGGGTTGACTATGTGAAAAAGCATTCTGTTATACAGAGAAATTATCGTGGAAGTGAAGTAACGCAGTCACACGTTTTGTGGTAACATAAGCGTTAACTAACACAGTTATTATTATTTATTATTATATGCATTCCCGCGGCAGCGTCAACAGTGCAAGTGCAAGTCGCTCATGCACAAACACAGTCCACACGTTCGCTTATGCTGGACATGGTAAGAGAAACAGTTGATATAGGAGACATAAAGACTACACGCACAAACGTAGCTGTAAATCCTTTGTGTATAGAATGTTTAAAGTGTATTGAGCGATATTTCCGTGATCTGGGAAAAAGGTGACGGCGCGGTTTCATCGCCGCAACCTCTACTTGCAGATCATATCCAGTAGCTGCCTCCATTCGCTTCGAACTGCAGCTACGTCTGATAGGCGCTCCAGATCTTCCAGGCTCTGCAATCGCCCGCACGCAGCTCGGTGGAGGTCGTCGTCGAGCTTCACCGGCAGGGTGATGCGAGGGCGGCCTCTCCACCTGTGGTCATCACATTGAAAGTAGCTGACCATGCTTAGGACGGCGGGGGTATCACTGGGAAGTCGAAGGATATCGGGCCAAATAGCCTCCACCGAGCTCTGGTGATGATGCGGCTGATCGGCTCTGCCTTGCACCTGTCGTAGAGTGCTGTTGTTGCGATCTTCTGCGGCCAGACAAAGCCGATCAGTGAACGGAGCTGGCCGCGGTGGAATGCGTCGAGTCCACCCTCGGCAGCTGCCGTGAGTCCCCATGTGCCGGCGTTGTATACTACCACTGGTAGTACAAACGCATTGTAGAGACGAAGCCTCAGTTCTTCTCCAACGGTACTGCGCCGGCTCCATAGTGACCAGAGCGATCTAAACGCTGCAGCGGCTAGTTGTTTCCTCCGAGAGACATCCTCGCTATCCCCGAGGAGTGAGCCGAGCTTCTTGGTGGTGCGCCACTGTTCCGCCACCCTGTCCAGGGATCGGCCCAGAACGGTAATTTCTGTTTTATCCGGGTTTACCTTCAGAGCCCATCCGTTGAGGACGTCACCGATAACCGGCTCCAGGTCACCCAACCAGCCAGACTCTGTGCTGATGAAATCCGCGTCGTCGGCGTACGCAATTTCAAACGGCAAGCCGAGATCCGATGATGGCCGAGCCCTGGCAGTAGCAGTGCTCCTTACATCCCGCAAAGCTGCCTCGAGATATACCACAAATAGAACAGGGGACAAGGAATCGCCCTGGGGCGTCCCGATAGTGGTGTCGGCGGATTCGGATGTTGCTGTGCCGATGCGTACACAGAAGGACGTGTTGGCTAGTAGGACACGGATGAGACGGATCTCGTCCTCGTCCAGGAAGGAATTGAGAACTGCCAGTAAACGGTCTCTGCGGATGCAGTCAAATGCTTTTGACATGTCAATGCCGAGGACCACCAATTGCTTCTTGTATTTCTGACAGGCTGCAGCATACCAACGGTGGCTCCAGATCACATCCGCCGTTGACCTGCCTCTGCGGAAACCGCTGTGCGTTGAAGAGAGACATTGTTCTACTTGTGATGATATTCTCTGAAGAGTAATGATGGAGAGGGCTTTGCGCAGTGCCGTCAGCAGGACAATTGGGCGAAGGTTACTCGGAGGTCCAACTGGCTTGCCGGGTTTCTGGAGCGGGATTAATGTCCCCTTTCCCAGGTCGATGTGCTCGTGCATCTCAAACATTCCATTCAAGATCGTGGCAAATATTGGCGCCAGAGCATCCCCTCCATACTTGAGCAGCTCGGCCGGGACCAGATCGGGGCCCACTGCTCTGCCGTTGTTGAGTTTTTTTAAGCTGGTAATCACTTCTGCAGATGTAATGGGCTTGTTGAGATGCCTCCGCGCTCCATCAAATGGGTCCATGCCATGGCTGACATCGCCTTGAAACTGCTTCATGAAGTGACTTCTGACGATAGCTGCCGCTTGACCGTCGCTGCCAGCAAACCGTCCAGTTTCATCCGCCACAGCCGGTTTCTGGGCTTTCCGTCGTCTCATGAGGTGCACAGCTTAAACATGCGTGCCCCGTCCTTCAGCCTCTCAATCTCTGCTGCTTTGGCCTCCAGAAGCGCCTCAGCGTTGGCTCGACACTTGTCTCTGATGGTGTGTTGAAGGTCATTTCGCTGTCTCTTCAGATTGGCCTTGACTGCTGGGTTGGTGGAGTTGTTGATACTCAGACGAATATTCTTTTGCTTGAGTGATAGCTCTTGTATCGCAGGGTCTGGTTTCTGGTGTCTGCTACGGTTGACGTATCCCAAAACGTCCTTGGCCACGCTGCTCACCGTCTGCAGCACATTGTTGCACGTGTCGAATGGCTTTGTTTTATCCCAGGTACAAGCTGCTGTGTCCAGCTCGTTCGCCAGTCTCTCTCTGTATTAACACAGTGCGCCTGATAATTGTATCTACAGCGCGGGCAACTGAAATCCGACCCCCTGAGCGGTGCGCTCACATCGCAAAGACCCAACACGGGATGGTAAAACTACGAAACAGAGACCGCTAGAATGTAAACCCACCGCTCAGGGGGTTGGATTTCAGTTGCCAGCACTGTACATGTACATGTTGTACATGTACAATGTATGCTCGCAGTCCGTCATTACAGTACATGTAGTATGATTTTGCACTTACATGTACACTCCGTGTATTTGCAAAGAAAGTTGGAGGTGGTATATTTCTGCTGCTGGATCAGATGGAGTATAATGCATGTAGCGCTGCATTTGTCTTACTACTGTAAATATACACATTTTCGGCAGCTATTTAATTTCGGCTATATTCGGCACCGACCCAAAACGCCTAAATTAAAACGCCGATGAAATTTTTCACAGCATCTGGCAGTGTCGCGCGCACTACACCATGCCCTCTACCCCACGCCGAAAATAAATCGCCGCCGAAATGTCAAAAATCGTGAAGTGCCGAAATTTTGCAGCGCCGAAATTTTGTATATTTACAGTACCTGGTAGACTTCAGAACTAAATATTGCGACAGAGCTTGCTGTGTCTGTATGGTTCGGCTGAAGAGCGCGTGGTTGTGATGAGTTGGGAATGCAATGAACTGGTAGACTACAATGATAGAATTTGATCCCCGTTTGTTGCTATTGATGGAGGTTATGACCAGAGGATTGCAAAGCGTGTAACTCCAGTTTCAAACAAAGCCCGCTTGGTCTTACATGCTGCACGATGCATGTGCACACACACACTGTACGTACATGTACATGTACGTGCTATACGTTAGGCACCGGCGGATTCTGCTCGAAAAGGTGGCAGATTCTGCTCGAAAAGCAGTGAAATAGGCAGAACCATGCAATCCTTATGGCGGGCAATTCCTCGAATTCTGCTCCATTTTCTTTATCCACATACCAAAACATGCATGAGACTTACCAGAAAAAGTACTGAATTCTGCCAATTTTTCTGCCGACAAAATCTCCCAGTGCCTACTAAACGTGCAGGTGTTTTCTCCATCACAAACGGCAATAGTTCGGTTCTAGCGGAGAATTTCACGGCCTTCAGGTGGGCAGCGTTTTCAGATTTTTGACTTTATATACAGCCAGGCCCATGACACTCGGAGTAAGTTACAACCGAACCAACCTTACGGCCATTGTCGACTTGAATTACCCATCACCCTTCAAGCCATTTTCTTGCTTTGTAATTTTCTGGTGTATCAGTGACCTTTTGTTTGGTTTTGTATTTCTGGTGTGTCAGGTACCGGCGGTGCCCGCCACAACGTCGCATCAGGCATGCGTGACGACTGCACAGTTTCTAATCCTGAGTCCACCTGTGGCAGACGGGCTCCATCCGATCATCCGCGGACCTCATGCGGTGCAGCCAGTACTCCCACGAGCCCTGTCCAGAGGCGTTATGGACCGACTCAAACGGTACGGTCATGATTGCATGGAAACTTGAAAAAGGACTTTTGTATGGCTAGGAAAGGTGTGTGCTGACCATACTCAGGGAGGGGTGCTTTCTTGCAGGTTTGCCGAGTCGAAGGTTCGATGGACGCCTGGTGTGCTCTGGATGGCAGTCAGGAGTCAGTCAAGTGTCCTGTCAAGTCGGCGGAAATGCGCGAGCTCCGGAGTGGAGAGCAAACACATTTCCTATGAACCATCGCCGACGTCGCTACCACTATCTCGTTTTGTACAACTATTTGGTTTCATTGCTGGCCATTGCCTCATTCACTGGGGCTACAGCACCGAGACCACGATGACCTACAGCACCGAGACCACGGTGATATTATAGGTTTAAAGAACTACTGTAGAGGGTCTATATTCATGGATAAATTCATGGCACCATTTCAGAACAACGTTCAACTCATGCAGGGGGAACTCTCCCTTCAGTAAGCAGCACTTTGATTTCTACTGGCACTCGGCCTTACACACGCCATCCAAGTTTTCACCAGTGATGCATACAAGTTGTCTAATGAGTCTAAAATCCCAATGTACATGATTGTATAAGAGCACTTTAGCTATAAAGCACAATGCATTTCTGTCCTATGAATTGTGCAAATAGGGTCTTATGGACTCAAAACATACGCAGAAGTAGCCAAAATTTGAAGACGTTATAGGCAATAGAAGAAGTTAGCCGCTCCCAGCGTTGAGCTCAACCCTCCTCAACAATGCATGGACGCTTTCTCAGTTTAGACCTGGATGGAGAGTCAAGAATTGAAATGAGACAAGTTTAGTTGGTCAAACTCAAACAACTCTAAAACCGATACTGGTGAGTCAGAAAGTACTAGGGTCCAGCGGATTCTTCCGGCCGAAAAATTGGCAGAATTCCGTACTTTTTCTGGTAAGTTTCATGCATGTTCGGTATGTGGATAAAGAAATGGAGCAGAATTCGAGGAATTGCCCGCCATAAGGTTTGTACATGTATGGTTCTGCCAATTTCACTGCTTTTCGAGCAGAATCCGCCACCTTTTCGAGCAGAATCTGCCACCTTTTCGACCAGAATCCGTCGGTCCCTAGAAAGTACAACAACAGAACAGTTAGCACAAGATCAAGACTACATGTACAAAGAGGTTCCCTTTCGCCAGTGGAGAGCGCTCAATAGAACAATGCGTAGCACTATTACACAAAAAAGGCCCTAAGGAGCGTGGCCTCGAAATCCAGCCTATGAAATAATTGTAAAAGGAATCGCATACTAACATGTACGCGTACAGGAATATTTATCTGATATACATGTATGCACATGACATACTTCTACTGCAGCAATCAGAGTCAAGTGAGACCTTGAAGTTAGCAGTATTATCAAGGTTGTTGTGACGAGTGCAGTGTAGCTCTTCCAATGACCTACATTAGATACATGTATGGGATGCGGGCAGGTTCAACAAACGACGTTACGTTGTATTCGTGCCAGGCTTAGCTCTAGCTGCCTTCTTCGTCCTCGGTCGCTGCTTTACGTCAGCACGATAGTGAAGCCATTGTATTTGGTTACTAGTCTTAGTTGTATTGATGCGGCCTTATCGATCGAATCGCCTGGCTGCCTACAACAATCACTGACTCTGTACTCAGACCAGCTAGCTTGGTGCAATATGCATGCATGCAGGACAATGGTTCATCGCGATTGCGCAACATGGCATGATAAAGTGCGTCGACATGAACAACACGCAGTCTTTATCATGAGTTTAGAGGATCTGTGAGGCAACACCAGTGACCATGTACCAAGGAACACGGCCCGGATTCTGGCAGGTTTTTACTTTTTACATAGAATGCCACCGAGGCACTGTGACGATCCTGAAATGCAATTATGCGCGCGATCTAAGATGCTCGGACTTCGCCGGACTGAGTCAGCGTGAGGTGATTTGGTAGAAATCTCGAGCTGTACACGACTGTACAATGACTATGTTATTCACCGTATTATTACATGTGTACATGTAAGTCCAACGGTTGGACCAGCCACCACAAGTGCTGTTCCTGGCTCAGCGGCTCTGCTTTCTCTTCTTAAAAACCCTATCGTCTATTGTATTTTTCAGCAGCTCGGACTATTGTACTTATTTACCTGTGGATACCTACAATGTACAATGCTGTCACCATAATAGACATGTCACAGAGCTAATAACAGTTAAATATAGTACTGTAGATGATGTACTAGTACATGTGCTTCATAAAATCTCGGATGTTGAGCCAATAGTAGTGAGTTGTCGCACTATCTGACTGTACATGTACATGTATAATCTCATTAGCTTGGTGGACTGTTAGTCATAACTAGTATCTTATATACATGTAGCCTTGTAGGTTCTTTTCTCTTTACATGTACAGTCATATACAGTCATTGTAAAGAGGAAAGGGACAGATGGATACGAGTCCAACACATCTCTAAAGCGCTAACCAAACGCTTACCAACTCGGAAGGTTCTAGGTTAAGCAGAGATCCAGGAGGGGAAGTTGAGCGCAACGAAATGAGCACAAGCCAAATCCCACTGCAACTGTTGCTGTTACTGTTGCTGCTGCAGCAGCTTGGAATTGTATTTGGACCGCTTTGTCAAAGTATCTTACTAGTCTCGTCATTGTCCAATTTTTCGTGAATACAAATGGCCGTCCGAGTTTTTTACAACCTGATATTGCGCTACTACACGCTGAGAACATATTTCAGCATTTTCATGTCCATTGTACCTTATAGAATAGGAGAGGATAAATGAGATCATGAAACAAGACACGGGAAGCGTGAGTTTCGAAGTCTGAGGAGGATGTTGAACGGTCGCTGTTTAGGTGATACATGTAACTAATAACTGCATGTGTATCATAGCGTATTCAAGTAATTGCTGGTAGCGCATCGCTGGTCATGGTCATTGCCACATTGCCATTGGTGAGTAACAGTAAATAATTGAGGTCCCTAGTTCGAGTCCTGATGCATGCATGGTGCTAGTCAACGACTACGTGTTTGTAGCTGTGTGCGCGCTTTAGTGTGTACAGTAGGGATCTGTGACTGTAGACTGTAGTGCCCTGCTTGAGTTACAGTCAGAGTTTGAGAATTCGCAGTTAGTACTCAACTGTGTACAGTACATATACCAGTATTACAGCTTTTGTCTACTAGTAATCCAAATCCTGCAACACAGCGCATGATCACCACAGGTGCCATTAGCGACCTCCCAGAGCACGCTTGCTCCCTGAAATGCCTTGCCGAAATCCGTCCCCCTGCCTCGCGCAAGCGCTGCTCGTTTACTCTTTATCTCTGCACCGCTTGCTTGCGCAGGTCAGCCGTCGAGCACGAAACCAGTTACCTGCGTGAATTCCTAATTAGCTGCCATTCTTTGCTGCACACATGCACCGCACTGGATCGAAGCCGAGGGACGGCGGCAGCGCTAATGAATTGGCGGTGCTAGTGGGATGGCTTTGGCCTAGATTTGACGAGCAAAATGCCCGGTAGAAAGTACAGCGTGCCAAACTGGACTGTCATTAATTCACAACTAAATGTATGGCACGAGTCGTAGATTGTTGCTTGCAACTAGCATGCGCTGACCGTACACCCTGCCATTCAGTAAAAGCAGTGACGGCTTCTTTATACCATCACCATCCACGGGTATCAGAACAACAATAGATGCTGGAAGATTCACGCGATTGTATGATTGAAACCGTGCATGCGTGCAAACCGAAGAGCGTTCCATACACGTGACGTCCACTGGGTAGAATCTCCACATGCTGCTCTCTCTCTCTCTCTATTCACGGACGCACTCCACGACGTCTCGGGGGAAGGCCGCAAGTTCTTGCATGCAAGCGCAGGCAATATGATGATTCCGACTTTGGCGCTGATCTCTGTACACGTTGTGCTCCTACTAGAAATCCGCTATTTCAAGTGGCACATGAGCCGCACAGCACCACAGAGGAGCTGAGCAAGAGGATTCTCGACGTCTCAAATTCGCTACCGATTGACGAAGACGAAAGCCAGGAGATGGGGAAGGTAAGGAACTAATAATTCCTCTAATCTTGCTCCTACTGCTGCTGTAGCTCTATTGTTTGACTGTCAAGTAACAGAGAGTGTTGAGAGCTTTCTCCCTTGGCTCTTTGTATTGTGAAGTCCGGTCACTAAATGGTCGAATCTTAGGCCAATAGCTGTCTGTGGAGTGTTGTTGAACACACCACGGAGGCATGGGACCTGTCCAAATCTGTCACTGTCCGACAGGTTCTGCTACAGGTCGATCTGTCTGTCATCAGTCCCGGTGCGATTTCTTGCTGGTGTGAAAGGTGATTGTGTATCAACTGTCGCTCGCGTATCGCATGTCTAGGCGGTAATACTAGTAGTCATGCTCTCGTCGTAGGCAAATGTAGAGACTAGTACTGAAGTTACAAAGGACCCGGCTGTACTGCCTAACACGACTTCCGCACAGTATCCAACCATAACCTTTTTTCACTAGTTTGAGGGAAAGACACACGCGGGAAAAGTCTGAAGAAAAAATTGACTGGCACCACCACGACTCGAACCAGGGACGCTCGCTTGTAGCTAGCGATGCTCTAACCACTGAGCTATGGTGTAGTCGTCATCCCAGCAGAGACCGTTTCCGAGTTCATAACTAACTTACTTTAAATGGTAAGGGAAGCCTGCATCATCCATGTTCGAACATTGACTCGTTGTGGATATGGTAGTAGTCCACTCACAGAGGCCTGCCAGATAACTTCGGATGTCCGAGGTCGCCACCTTCAGTGACGATAAATGTCCAAGTCCCTCAACGCCATAATACTGCGAAGAAGGACACACTTCACACTGGTTTCAATTCTGCCATCAACCGACACGTGGGAACCATAATCTCTGGTAAGCCTCTCTCGGCGCTGCCTTGGTCTTCACGCCGTTTTTGGAGGTGTTCGAGGGCAATCATTATTACGGATAATGTCTAAGATAAAGACCAGTGAGAAACACCTTGAAATGTGGAAACGCGCGTCCCATCTCTAACACACTTGCACAGAATGATGTGGGAGGAAGGAGGTCCAGTAATCTTCCTCATCTAACCATTACCTGACCCAAGTTTAATAGCACGCACCATGTACCATGTACTGTCGTGGACATGGAAATCCGGTCGATTGACCGGGGCCGGCGCCTTCAGCGCGTACAGAACGCTGCGTGAAGGGCACATGTTGATCCGATGCGACTAGCGCGCTGCAGCGCATAAAACGCATGTGTGTACCGCTTATCCACGGCTGCATGGCCAGCGCCCTGGGGCCGCTAGACGTGCGACCGGATTTCCATGTCCACAACAGTAGATGTATGCGCCCGTCGCGAGATGAGCACGCACATCTGCAAATGCGCTGGATGTGTAGCCACAGAATTGCATGTACTTGTATAGCAACGATAGCGGGCAAGATCCGAATGAAGAAGATCAAGATAACTGCCCAATCCACACAACTGGCGAAGCCTATTATAACTCAGTACATCTACGTCAGCACTGCTCTGCAGATCCCCCGTACATGTACTGAAACTATGGAAGTAAGAGCGAAGAATGATGCTCCCTGTGAGCCCCTCTGGCCAAGAATCTCTACTATACCGTCATACTGCGGCCAGTGTGATTGAAAAGGAACTCCTGTGGAGGCAACGCTCACTGTGGACCAACCTGCAGTACATGTACATGGTTGTATACAGTCCCAAATTACATCAGCCCCCAATTTTATTACTGCTTTCTATCTGCATTCGCCACCTTTTCATTGGGCAGATCTGCCCGTTTGGTTTGCGAATTAAAATAAACACAACAACAACAACAACAAATAGTGTTTCGTTAATACACAGCGGATGACTTCGGGCGATCGAAGGAAGGTAACAACTTTCTATCCTCTTTGGTGACCGCAGAGAGTATGGGGTATGTGTACAATGCCACCTGAATATGCAGTTCAACATCAGTGAAAGTCCCAGCGTTAGCAGGTCTAGGGCTGCACAGCGTCCGGCGCTAACTTAACCACTCGATCGGAACTCATTCAGCAGCACTCGTGCATGTTAATTTTGTACATGATTGTAATACAGCAAGTACAGTGAAAGATGACATTGTACATATTCATGTGTTGTATAATCCTGCCATCCTGGCTCCATTTCAATACCCGCGTTATCCTAGTCTCTGGCATACGGTGTTGGTCCAGACGAGGACAGCGACAGGAAATTGCAGGACTCCTCAGCTCTAAATATGTACATGTACATTAAAGACCCTTTCAACGATATCCCGAGGACGACGACGCCACCAAGTGAATCGTGGCGAGCAGCAATCATGGCCAATCGTTTAACAACCACCCTTGGGTTTACTGGCATACTAACCTCGGGGAAACCTTCCCTTCGGCTGGAACAGTTCATGAAGATAAACTAACAATTATTGTAATATCTGTAAAAAATCCCCAATACTCTTCACAGCCCAATTTAGCAATATCAATGATGTAGTTATTTTGGAGTGGGCCGGTGCACGGACGAAACGACATATGAGCCACTTGGTCTGGCTCCTCCTGAAAACCTCAATTGCCAAAGGACAAGCAGCCTGAATTAGTCTACTTTTCAATACGCCAATCATGACCAAGGGATCGTCATGTATGGCTGTTAGCTATAGCATTAGCATTGTGTTGGTAAACTTTCAGGCTTTGAGTGAAGGCCAACTGAGCGGTCGTCAGTTAGTTGTCTTTGTTACACTTACCTTACCGTTTTAGACTTTGGATGCAACCAGCATTTTTGATGCTATTCGTCACTGTTGGCATATGGACCCTAATAGTGTTCGTTTTCTCTGCATACAAGTCTACATGCATTCGGCTCGCCTTCCTGCATTCTCTATCGTGTGTTTTCTAACTGATGAATGTCACAAGAGAACGTTTTTTTGGAATAAAAGATCCACTGGTGCCTCGCTTGGATTGGATGTGTGTATGGAAGCTTGAGTGCTAAGTGGATTCCGTTTTTCGTTATTCAAACTCTAGAGAAGTTGTTGGCTCCCCAAACTGTAGTTCGCGCTTTTACAGCCGACCTGACTTGACACTTGACTGACGCACAGCTGCCATCCAGAGCTTACCAGAAGTCCATCGAATATTCGTGCTGATAACGGAGTATTTCTGTACGTTTTATCCCAGGTGATAACTGGAGCCAGTGCTAGTGGAGGGCAAAGCACCACTTATTTTTCTGGGTGATGTGACGGGTGATTTCCCCGAAACACTGTGCATTGAGTAGTGAGAAGGGAGTGGTGCCTTCTTGCAAGTTAGTTTGCGGAGTCGAAGATTAGATTGGCTTCCCAGCTGCTCTGGACTGGATGGCAGTTGTGAGTCAGAAAAGTCACGTAACTTACTTGTCGGGAAAGGCGCCTGCGTCAGCGTTGGGAGTGCCACTACTTGTCTTAGTAATAGTACTAAGGAACGCATGTACATGTACATGTTGTTGTACATGTACATGTACATAATTATACTTAGTATACTTATTATAATCCAATTCTAGTACAGTACTACTAGCATAATTTTTGGCATAAACAGGTCCTTTTTAGAAGGAGCATAGAATGGCATCTGAAAAACAAGGGCAGATGCCCAATGAGGCTGTTATATACACACCTGCTATTGAAGGACCATACATAGCGCTTCTTGTCGATTTGGAATACCGTATTATTTTAGCAGCCACATAGGACAATCACATCTCCCTCAAGTTCAGCGTTTGCTTGTGAACTTGGTATTCCTCTTGCATATTATTGTCTTGTACTTCCACAAAGCTTCCAGTCCACATCATGACAATGGTTTGAGTCCTTTTGTCATGACGATTATCTCAGTTATCTGTTCTTTCTGGTCTTTTTGGTGAAGCATATAAAGCATAATAGGTTGTTTTCTCGAGCATCCTGCGAGCAACCGCTAGAGCATAATCTGGTCACTTTCTGAGCATAATCCGCTTACCCCTAATCTTCGACTATGATACAGATAATATAGAAAGGAAAAGGACATAATGGATACGAGTAAGGAGTGACTCTCCATCACTGTAACTAGATACCAGAATTGTAGTAAGACCGCTTTGTCAAGTATCTTACTGGCCTCGTCATCGTCCAGTAACAATCGACATTCTTTGTTCCGTTGGGACTGTAGCTTGTGCTCGTTTTCGTCGCCCTTACCTTCCCCTCTTTGGTCTCTCCATAACCATGAACCTTCCGAGTTGGAAAGCTGTTGGTTAGCGCTACGTAGATGTGTTGAATCTAGGTGTCAGGACATCGAATGTCTCAGTACTCTGTCAGTTTTGTGCCTAGGTGTTGCACTTTCTGACTGTATAATAGTATCTGGTTACAGTGATGGAGAGTTACTCTCAACTCGTATCCATAGGTCCTTTTCCTTTCTACATTAAAATTTTAGTATTGGCTCAACATCCGAGTTTCAAATTGCATACAGATAGAAAATAATTATGTTTATAGTAAAGAAAATAGAAAGGACCCAGAAACTACAAGTTACACTATAATGCAGGGAGTCGTAAAAATACAACTCCCTGCTATAATGTCCACTAACACCACCAGTTACTAAACAATCAGCTCATGCGATAACATTGCACGACACTGACCGACGGTACTGACGTTCTACAACTAACTGGCTATCAGCTCTAGCACATCTTGGATGCGCACTCCAACAGCCTTCCAACTTGGAAGGTTCTACATGTAAGTTATAGAAATAACATGAGCAGGGGAAGTCGTTTCTTGGTCCTTTTTTCTTTGCTATAAATTTATCCTTGGCTCTCCATCCGAGTCCATTCTTGCACACCGGATTAGCCGTCCTTATCTACATGAATACAACGAAACGTTCGTCGTGTGACACTGCTGCTTGTTACCGCTACTTATTGTCCATCTAAATTGTCATAGTCGAAGTACAGTGCTGTTTTACTGAGGCGTTCGGTTTTTTTCAGGATTCTTGTTCGCATAGCTTCCCCTTTTATTGATCTTCGCATCTTTGAGCCACACAAGTTGTGTGGAATGTTGTTTTGCGTCCTTGAAT